TAGAATTATAAGAACGAAGAGATTGAAATCTTTGTGACTCTATTTTTTTATTATCGCTATCAATATGCGTGTTAAGAGATTTAGAAGAGATATAACTATTGGCAGAATTTAATGTTTGTAATAGAGGAATGCCAGATGATTGTGAAAGAGGGATTTCAGATGATTGTGTACAAGCAATATTGGATGATAAAGACATGGGAGATTCATAAGCACGTTGTCCTGACATATTGCTTTTGATAGAGTTAGAGCCTACAATTTTAATTTTAGATAATGAAGTATTACCAGTATCGCAGTCCGATTCTGAGAATTGGTGGAAAAAGCTGAAATTCTTCTATTTATGTCAACCCGATTAGCATGTTCTTCCTTCTTCCTTTCCTTCGTCTTATGTTTTCTTTTCTTTTTGTTTGAAATAGTTTTGAAGTTGTCATCAAAAATTTCTTGCGATAATGACTGCCGTGATTTTTAAATGAACCTTCTAAATCATTTTCAATTTCAACATAAGCAGCTGGTGAGGAAATAATGTTAGTGTCGGAATAATTCGGATCCGGTGGCTTAGGCGGAATTGGATTAGACATGGCGACCGAGAGACTAAGGCTACGATAAACTGTTTTGTGATAGTATGAAATTGTCGCTAAATGAGATAGGTACAATATGAAAATGCAGATAAATATTATTCATATATACTAAAATACATAAGGAATGTAATCAGAATATTACAAGAAAACTTAAAATAATTAAAATGACACCAAAAACGCGTAAAACCGTTATTGACGTTCAGTTGACAAACCCCTAATCCCAAATACATAGATTACTGACTATGTACTAGAGAAATAAATATGTAGAGTGCGCGCAAGATAACTCTGCGCGCGGCCAAAATTGGAACTAATCGTGTGCCGCCATCTTACTGTTTATGGCAAGTGTCTAAACAGAGTGGTAGGTGTCCTGTTTTTATTCTTTTTTTGCAGTAATTAATCGTTATCATTATGCCGAAAGTGATTAAAAGTGCTGGCAGGGATGTTATTTTGAAGGTCAAACGTGCTTGTGAAGAAGAACGAGACAATAACGGGCCTATAGTACCGTTTTCCAAAGTTAGAGCCCGCGTTGCATATTTAACAGGTAATTTTTAGGGATGCCATTACAATAAAATTCCCCAATTTTCTCTATTTGTTCCTTTTTAATTTCCTCGTGTCATTAATATCATGTATTTATAATGCATTGTTTTTATTTTGTTTTAGGTGTTTCTGAACGCACCGTCACCCAGATAAGTCAAGAGGGTAATATAGCAGAAGCTTCATCTTCTAAAATTGTGACGCCGGGAAAAACTAGGAACCGAAGGAAAAAAATTATGATTTAGACGATTTCGATATGTGCGCTATAAGGCATTTAATTCAATCAATTTACGTCGTGAAGAAGGAGATTCCTACCATAAATAAACTTTGGTTGGAATTGAAAACTGATATTGGTTTTAAATATGGCAGAACATCGTTGAGGAGTATTTTAAAGACTATGGGCTACAAATACAAAAAGGTGCCAGTCTAAACGAAAAGTATTGGTAGAACGCAGTGATATTGCGGCTTGGAGAGCAAAATATATTCTGAGGTTGCGCAAGAATCGTCAGGAAGAAAATCGACCGGTAATTTATGTTGACGAAACGTATATACATGCTTCATACCACCTTCAAAAATGTTGGCAATCGAAGGAACAGCCTGGTATTCTTGCTTCTGATAGCGTCGGTGCAAGATGGATAATAGCCCATGGTGGAGGTAAAACTGGGTTTGTTGAAAACGGACTGCTGCTGTTCAGGTCTAACTCCAAATCGAATGACTATCATGACGATATGAATTCAGCTAACTTCATGCGGTGCATGAAAGAAAATATTGTGCCGAATCTTCCAACGAATTGCATTGTAGTGATGGATAATGTGTCATACCACTGCACACAGATCAACAAGGCGCCTACAATTGGCAATACAAAAGCAGAGCTCCAAGGATGGCTTACGAGAAATGGTATTACATTTAAAGACTGTTGGACAAAAGCGCAATTATACGAATTAATTAAAAAATACAAAGGAGACCCACAGTACGAAATAGATCAAATGCTTAATGAATATGGACATGAGGTTCTCCGTTTACCGCCTTACCACTGCGATTTAAATCCCATAGAAAAAATTTGGGCAATAGTAAAGAGACGCATTGCAGAGAAAAATATCACTCAAGCTCTAACCGAAATAGCTGCTATTACTGAGGCGGCGTTTAGAACAGTAACGACAGACGAATGGTTCAACGTATGCCAACATGTAGAAAAAATAGAAGATAAATATTTCCAATCAGATGTGGATGTGGAAATAGATGAATTTGTAATTAATGTTACAGGTGACACATCCGAGTCATCTGATGAAGACTCTAGCATGGATTCTGATGAAGATATGCGAGTGGAAGGCGTTGATCCACTGCAGGACCATTGTTACACCAAATTTATAAATAATAATAGGTATTAATAAAAGATTTACAAGGTTTCCTTGGGCTTTTTATTTCGTTCTTTATAATAAATATTATAATGCTATTTCAGTTGTTTCAAAATACCTTTTTGGAAAAATTTATTATAGACAAAATATCAGTAGTCATTAATCTTAGTATTAGTCCTTTTTATACACGCATATAATAGGTACCTGTAATTGTGTAAAAAAATTGTAGTGGCGTAGTTAAACTTGTGTAGTGAGGTATCAAACTTATGAAAGTTAGAATCAAGAAATATATTTATGACGCGGATCTTAAAGAATAAATATGGGGTTTAAAAAATTATTAGGTCTTTGTAAGTTTAGGCTGAACATTACAGTTTTTTTAATTGAGATTTGGTAATCAATTAGGTAATTTATGTAATTTGATATAATTATACAATTCCAGTAATAAGATTAAACGAAGGAAAAAATATTAGTTAAGCTGGCAACATTAAGCACGCCATCAGTCGCGCGCAGAGTTATCTTGCGCGCACTAGTGCGTTTCTTGATTCTAACTTTCATAAGTTTGATACCTCACTACACAAGTTTAACTACGCCACTACAATTTTTTTTACACAATTACAGGTACCTATTATATGCGTGTATAAAAAGGACTAATACTAAGATTAATGACTACTGATATTTTGTCTATAATAAATTTTTCCAAAAAGGTATTTTGAAACAACTGAAATAGCATTATAATATTTATTATAAAGAACGAAATAAAAAGCCCAAGGAAACCTTGTAAATCTTTTATTGAATACCTATTATTATTTATAAATTTGGTGTAACAATGGTCCTGCAGTGGATCAACGCCTTCCATTCGCATATCTTCATCAGAATCCATGCTAGAGTCTTCATCAGATGACTCGGATGTGTCACCTGTAACATTAATTACAAATTCATCTATTTCCATATCCATCAGCCTATCTGATTGGAAATATTTATCTTCTATTTTTTTTACATGTTGGCAACATTCTTCTGTCGTTACTGTTCTAAACGCCGCCTCAGTAATAGCAGCTATTTCGCTAGGAGCTTGAGTGATATTTTTCTCTGCAATGCGTCTCTTTACTATTGCCCAAATTTTTTCTATGGGATTTAAATCGCAGTGGTAAGGCGGCAAACGGAGAACCTCATGTCCATATTCATTTAGCATTTGATCTATTTCGTACTGTGGGTCTCCTTTGTATTTTTTAATTAATTCGTATAATTGCGCTTTTGTCCAACAGTCTTCAAATGTAATACCATTTCTCGTAAGCCATCCTTGGAGCTCTGCTTTTGTATTGCCAATTGTAGGCGCCTTGTTGATCTGTGTGCAGTGGTATGACACATTATCCATCACTACAATGCAATTCGTTGGAAGATTCGGCACAATTTTTTCTTTCATGCACCGCATGAAGTTAGCTGAATTCATATCGTCATGATAGTCATTCGATTTGGAGTTAGACCTGAACAGCAGCAGTCCGTTTTCAACAAACCCAGTTTTACCTCCACCATGGGCTATTATCCATCTTGCACCGACGCTATCAGAAGCAAGAATACCAGGCTGTTCCTTCGATTGCCAACATTTTTGAAGGTGGTATGAAGCATGTATATACGTTTCGTCAACATAAATTACCGGTCGATTTTCTTCCTGACGATTCTTGCGCAACCTCAGAATATATTTTGCTCTCCAAGCCGCAATATCACTGCGTTCTACCAATACTTTTCGTTTAGACTGGCACCTTTTGTATTTGTAGCCCATAGTCTTTAAAATACTCCTCAACGATGTTCTGCCATATTTAAAACCAATATCAGTTTTCAATGGCAATGTTCACTGCCGATTTCTCACGCCAGATGGCGTATCATCGACATGGCCATTGAGAACTGTCAGATCCATACGTTTAATAACCTACCATACTGTTAATTTTAGTTTTCTCGAAATATGCCTCTTTGTGCTGTACCAGGATGCGCTAACCCCGGTGTACATTTATTTCCCAAAGATCCAACATTAAAAAAAAAGTGGGAAAGGGCTATAAGACGCAAAAATTTTGTAGCGACACAGCATAGCAGGTTATGTCGGAATCATTTCCAAGAATCTGATTATGTGGGAGAATCAGCCTACACAGGTATGTTATTTTGTGTTTATTTCATTTATTATTATTACTTATAGACTCTACTAGCGGTTTTTCGAAATTTGAACCACTTGCCCAAAGACCACTTATATAGACACTTTGTTTAAGTTTTTGCGAACGAAATCCCAGGTAAAAGTTAGGAAGTAAATAAACCAATAATGAACCAATAATGTATGTAATGTATGCCTCCATACATCAGATTATGTTGTGTTAAATTCATAATATCTATTTTATTCATGTTTAAGGTAATCTGTACTATGTTTCTCAATTTTTGTTGTTTACAGGACATCCTCAAATATGCAAATTTCTGAAAAAAGGGAACTGTACCAAGTATATTCCCTTGGTCCACCCAGGTGTCAACAACACCTACATCAAGAACCAGTCGATATATGAAAAGAAGCAGACGCATAATTGATTTCAGACAACCATCTGTAGAAGAAGGTATTCCAGAACCATCTTCTAGTGCTGAAATTGAAATATCTTCTATAGAGGGCTCCTTAGAAGATTTTACTCAAAAAACTGTGTCTGTTGGCACTCAATGTGGTAGTTCTTTCGGAATCTTATCACTAGAGGCCATGAGAGGCAATCCGCAGGCTATTCATTTTTATACTGGGCTAGAAAAATATGAAAAATTCATGTTGGTGTTAGACACATTAAGTCCCATGTGTAATAATTTAAATTACAGGGGAAGTAAAGTTATCAATGTTTGTATTGGTGACCAACTGTTGATAACACTAATTAAGCTGAGAAGGTATTTGCCAGATTTTGAGTTGGCATTTTTATTTGGTATTTCCCAAACTACTGTTGCTAACATTTTTGTAACATGGATTAATTTTATGTATGAAATATGGTCTTTAGTTAATATTTGGCCAAGTAAAGAATTGGTTCAATATTATATGCCAGAGTCATTTAAAAGGGGTTTTCCAAGTACAAGGATTATTGTGGACACAACTGAAATACCCATCACACGGCCTGGGAATCCAGTAGCACAGCAGGTGACCTTCAGCAGTTACAAACACAAAAACACTGTGAAGGCTATGATTGGAGCAACACCTGGAGGTCTTATATCATATGTCTCTGAATGTTATGGAGGTTCAGTCAGTGATAGACAGATCATAGAAAGATCCAAACTAATAAATGTGTGTGACAGTGGGGATTCAATCATGGCAGACAGAGGGTTTAATGTGCAGGATATTTTTGCATCAAGAGACATTACTATTAATATACCAATGTTTTTGAAAGGAAAAACACAATTACCAGGTGTTAGAATAATTCAGGATCGAAAACTAGCAAGCAAACGAGTTCATATAGAGCGTATAATAGGTCTAGCTAAATCATATAAGATTTTAAAAAGTGAATTGAGCCCTTATCATGTACCGCTAGCATCTAGAATTTTATTTGTTTGTGCTATGGCTTGTAATTTTAGAGAAAGTATCATGAAATAAAAGCTTTTTTACAACTGTTCATATATTTTATTATAAAGTCTTAAAAAACAACATAAACACGCATATTATCCAGAGGGGTAATCAGAGACTACAGACTACCATTTGACACGATCCTGACACACCTCTCTCACCTCCTTTACATCCATATACATACACTCATACATGCTCATTGGTTACGGGTACTGCTAATCTGGCCCATTTTCAATATATTGCCAATTTGGTTGACAAACCTTAGTCTAGAGTGTACCTTACCGATTCTGCTGTTCACATTTGCAATATTTGATTTGCGTTGTCACTCCTTGTTCATACATAAACAAACCACTAAAGCGTTCCTTACTTAATCCTGGTCACAGCATCATATTTTAAAACACACTTATCACACAATCTCTCACCCCGTCATTCAGATTCAGCCGTAGCATACTCCCATATATTATAAAATCTTAATCCTTATAAAAATATTTTTTGGTTACAGCATTCTTAAAGAAGTTGTAATAAAAATAATCAAGTTTTCTCAACATATCTGTAATGAACTGTTCATCACGTTCAATAAATATTACTTTTAAAGTTTTATAGGTAAAAACTAATAAATTACAAAATCTTCTTTTTGTTACATATAATTGCCCTTGAATTTGACAGTAATAAATATTAGTTTTTTTTTAAAGTAAGTTGTCCATTGTCATCAAATTGTAGGTAAGGTACTGTAAGAGGACTGATTTCTTGGTTTCTGGAAGCATAAGGACATTTTACTTCAATTATTGTTTCTGATCCTAGTAAGCCATCTGGAGATGCTCCTAGATAAGGTCGTTCCTGAGACAAAAACAATCCACACTCTTCAACAACCACCCCATAAATCTCCATATATTTTTTAATGGCTATTTTTTCATTAATCATCCCATGTGCCATCGCTCTTGTTTGTACTAGATTTTTATTTAATATTTGGTTACAATATTTTACTAAAGTTTCACTTTTCAAATGGCACACAGTGTGAAATATACTTGATGTAATACAGGTTTGTCGATACTCATGCCACTTTGGATAGGAACTTTGTCCTCTAGTCTCCATTTCGATTTCCACTAATCTGTCTTCAGTTAAATTTAGTAAATGAATGGATTCTAAAAAAATATCCTGTGCACTTTTTTCCATATATTTATGATCTAAACATATTGCTCGTTGGTTAGCTGCTGGAAATAATTGTTTTAAGGGCATCGATGAGTGTGGATAATTTAAAATCAGGGACTGAAACCTGCATTGGAATGCCTTTTTATCAAAATGAGGGTTTTGTTTTAAATATGGAGAGTAAACAATGTTATGTATATCCCTTTTGGATGGCAACCTGGAGGCTCGCAATGGTGTGGCATAATATTTTTTTGTTGGCTTATGAAACGTTTGAAGTTGTGATGTCGAAACTTCATGTAGCAGTATTATTTTTTCCTTAACAATATTTTCAGCAGCAAGAAGTACCACAGCTACATGTTTACAATGGGCTTCTTTGCCTTCTCCTGCTGCACATTCACATGTTGCTTCTTCAGGCATTCCATCATTATTTAATTTGATGTTTACCTCATATTGTAGTTGTTTCATAGATGCTTTGCAAAAACCTGGAAGAAGTATTTATATGTTCATATTTAAACGACAAATATATTACACATCAATTTTAGCCTAGCCATCTATTTATTTTTGATACATCAACCTTTATTATCTGGTGAACCTACCTTTTAAGTATGTATCTTCAGCAAATGTTGTTGATCGCAAAATAAGAAGGTATCTCGATTCATACAACTTTACAGCATCACTGATATTTCTATTGAATCTGAAATAAAAGTATTATGTTAAATATCAAGAGAAAGTTTATAACCACATTTTAATAAACTTAGTGAACAAATAATCTTTAATATTTATATAAAACGTTAGAAACAATTATTACCTACCTATCAAAATAACATTGAATATGTTTTTTGGTAATCTTTGGCAATATCGTGGAGCTATTAACGTCCTGGTAAAGTTCAACAGCAGGAACATCAATTGCTTGACTTTGAGAAGCTGGAGGGCTTTGATTGCCGAAATTAAAATTTCGGTCATATGATTCTAACCTAAAAGAAAAAATACCATTTATTATTGGAGTAATGTTCTTTGATTATTCGTAAATTTTCCTAACATTAATCAAGAAATAATTAACACGTTCCAATCAAAACTAGCTCCAAATCTTTAACATGTATATAAGTGGACAGTTTTATAATATTTTAGTAATACAAGCCTACCTCTCCACAAGATCTGCTTTCTTTCCAGTTATCTTCGCTCCTCGTTTTTTTAGTTCGTCTTTCAATTCTTTAAGCTTCCAGGTACAATACATCTTAAAAATTATCGATGGTTAACCAGTTTCAATATAAAGAAAAGCAAATTCTCTTTATGTAAAGTATTCTACAACAATTTGACAGCAGCCATGGCGCCGCTGGTGCCCTCTACGATTAGCTTTGCATGTGGATCCCCATTCCAACCAAAGTTTATTTATGGTAGGAATCTCCTTCTTCACGACGTAAAATGATTGAATTAAATGCCTTATAGCGCACATATCGAAATCGTCTAAATCATAATTTTTTTTCCTTCGGTTCCTAGTTTTTCCCGGCGTCACAATTTTAGAAGATGAAGCTTCTGCTATATTACCCTCTTGACTTATCTGGGTGACGGTGCGTTCAGAAACACCTAAAACAAAATAAAAACAATGCATTATAAATACATGATATTAATGACACGAGGAAATTAAAAAGGAACAAATAGAGAAAATTGGGGAATTTTATTGTAATGGCATCCCTAAAAATTACCTGTTAAATATGCAACGCGGGCTCTAACTTTGGAAAACGGTACTATAGGCCCGTTATTGTCTCGTTCTTCTTCACAAGCACGTTTGACCTTCAAAATAACATCCCTGCCAGCACTTTTAATCACTTTCGGCATAATGATAACGATTAATTACTGCAAAAAAGAATAAAAACAGGACACCTACCACTCTGTTTAGATACTTGCCATAAACAGTAAGATGGCGGCACACGATTAGTTCCAATTTTGGCCGCGCGCAGAGTTATCTTGCGCGCACTCTAGCAAGTTAATTCAGCGTATGTTTTTTTTTGGAGTTTATGGCCTAGTATCTAGACCTTTAGGCCCACAGAGTATTTTTAATAGACCAATCTCCGACGCCAAAATGAACATCGTGCTTTAGCGACATCTGGATTTTTTACTGGCAACAATTCAAGGAAAATATTTTTTTATAATGCTGATAATTTACTTATTTTTGATATCGAAAATTTTGCGCTGAATTAATTAATATTGGTAGCTAATCTATTTATATTGTTATAGAAATAGAAGATTACACATCAATACATATAATTCAGCGCTGAATTAAAAGGCCTCAGAAATAAAACATTTAATATTTTTATCTTTTATTTTTAAAATACTTTTTACAATAAGAGTGAGCCATTAATTGTACACTATCATTGTTATCGTCAATGCTCCTTTTGCCAAAAATAATTTTATTTACATCTTTACAATAGTTGTATACGAAAAAATTAATAATTTGGTCAATCAAAAATTCTCTTAATTTTACTTTATGAAGAGGACAATCAAGGTAATTTAAATTTATAATGCATGATGCTATAAACTTTGTATATTCTTTCAGTAAAGGTTTTTCTGTATATTTTTTAAATACATAATTACATACATCCTGCATGTCAGATAACGTCTTTAGTAATAAATCACTTGGGCTGTTAAGCCAATTTCGACCTGCATATTCTCTATGTTTAATATAATCTTTTTCAATAACATTACACATGTTGTTACGACATGCCTGACATCCCTTCCAAATCTTTTGTTTGGATTTTTTTATAAAATATCCAAACAAAAGATTTCAGTGGCGCCATTATTCTAGGATCGCTTTTAGACTCCAATGGTATTAATTGAATTTCTAATATATCATTAATATCAACTTCACAGGTCTTATTGACTTCACTGTCCTTATTTATTATAAGAGAATATAGTGATTCACCATTATCATTTTCACAATTAAACCCCGGAGCATGAACACCTGTTAAATTGTTGACGAGGAGTGTAGCAAATGCAGACTCAAACTGTTCTGTTGTTGGATTATTATTGCGGCAATTTCTTTGGCCCCAAAGAAATTTTCCAAAGGGTCTTGGTTAAGGTGCCGCATCCAAACAGAAGTTATTTCGTAATCTTTCTCCAACTTTGCAACAATGACTTCCATGCCGTTAAGGGTAGTTATCCAACTCAGTACTCAGTGGCGAAGCTGGAGCTCCAAGCTAGGGCAAGCCCAAGATATAAATTGATAAAAATATAGATTGTTGTTTTTAGCAGTTTTATAAAAATACACCAATCTTGATCTGTCTCCACGCTTCAGTTTCATATTCAGTGCTGTCAAGGACGTGTTTAACAAAGCACACAGAAGGCATACAAGTGCTAGATAGATTGTATTACATATCAGCAATTGCATAGCTTCGGTGGCTTTGAAGAAAGCCGTTTGGGTTTGTTTAAGCGAAAGAAAAAAAAATTTACATCCAAAACAATACATGAACAAAAGTAAAACATGAACAAAGTACAAACAAACTGTGTACAAAATTAAAAAAACAAATTATTTACATTCTAATGGATAAGAGATAAGATAAGTGGAATCGTCTCGCTTTCTTATGGAAAGATTTAATTACGTCCACGTAAAATGTTGGTGAACGTTTTAATTGTACCCATAACTGTTTTTTAATTGCGATAATTGATAGGTAAGTCTGAAATACGCTCTTAACCTTGTGTATTATCTCAACAAAGTTTAAGGATTTCCTCTCCGATTAGCACTTTAACACATTTCAATTCATCACAAGGAACACTATTATCCTCCATTTTCATTAAAAATCTTTAAAAAAGCATAAATTTTGAACTCTTAATATTAAATCGCTTAAGATAAGCACACAGAGTAAATAAACATTGAAACGTGAAATGAACTTGCAAACGTATTGCCCGCGCGCCTCCGCTTTTAACAAATTTAAATTTATACCCAAAAGCCTGGCTTTAAATCCCCATACTAATTGCTATATATACAATCGTTGTTATATTTCATTATAGAATATTTTGCTATAGGTTAGAAAGAGAGCGACCGTCTTCTTGAAAGCCCCGTAAAAAGCCCACGCAAGCAAGGGAGACAACTAATCGCTCTATTAAAACTCATTTTTTATGACGGCAGCAGTATCGCTAAGGCAATACGAGGTCATCGGTCGACATGTGTCGAACAGTGGAGTGCGCGGGAAATTTTAAATAGCTTGAAACATTTTACGAGTTATTTTATTCGTTAATATTATTGATTGATTCAGTTTTAATAAGACAAGCCCGGCTTTTCGGCTTTTATAGAAGCTTCGCCACTGTCTGTACTGTTGGTACAAATTCTGTTTTTAAGCTACTTAGATTTAAAAATTGTAATGTCTGAAGTATTTTTTTACCTTCCCTCCATACTTTTTTATGAATTGACTTGGGGGGTTACTGGACCAAGTAAAGGTTTAATGTATTTATTTTTAGAATAACTACCATTTACAGAATCAAATAATGGATAATCCATAAAAAAAAAGAAAATCTGCAGTCTCCTTACATTCCTCAGGAAGGATGCCTTTATCTGAAAGTAAATAAAAATATTTATTGTTGCATAAACAAATATGCCTTGAGTTTTTAAAGTAAAAGTTACAGTTGTATTAATAAATGCAATTAAATTATCTCACATATTCAATTTTACATTCTAAGGTCTTTGAAATGAGTAAGTTGTTTAGGCCATCAGCGTATGTTCCGAAACGTAGACAGAGAATCTATCTATGTCACATCTACACACTATCTACAGACTAATGATCGGCGTGGCCTCGAGTGAGAAAGGACGATAACGAATTTTTAGGTTATACAATAATCTTTATGACTTTTAAACACATTTAGATAAAAATTTTAATTGTTCTAAGAACTGAACTGAACAAGATTCACCAATCTTAAGCTCTCAAAACACTTTTTTCTCACTTAAACGAACTTGTAAACTCCTTAAATCGCTACGCTGTATGCATAAATCTATCTTTTTCGTGTGCGAATACCAAAGAAGGCGTCAATTTGCGTAGACAGAGAAACCTATAGAAAAAAAAAAACAAAACACGAAAAAGATAGATTTATGCATACGTCTTGCATAGAAATGAGATAGAGCGGTGTGATTGTTTGTCCCATTCTCCGTGCCGGTTTTTTTTAGCAAACTGTAGACTTTGCTAAACAACTTTAACAGCGTAGCGATTTAAGGAGTTTACAAGTTGGTTTAAGTGAGAAAAAAGTGTTTTGTGAACTTAAGATTGGTGAATCTTTTTCAGTTCAGTTCTTAGAACAATTAAAATTTTTATCTAAATGTGTTTAAAAGTCATAAAGATTATTGTATAACCTAAAAATTCGTTATCGTTCTGTCTCACCCGAGGCCACGTTGATCAATTAATCTATAGGTTTCTCTGTCTATGTCAATTTGTCTATAGGTTTCTCTGTCTACGTTCCGAAACGTTCCGAAACGTCAGGGTTGCCGTTCTACAAATTTTTAAGTCCCTAGACTAACAGTAAAAAATCCTCCGGAAACAGCATTATTCTTTTTCTTAAAATCCGCTAGATGTTCCTAGGTACATATTCGTGCTACTATAGATTTTTCACGCGAAATATTCACACACAACAGTCACAAAATACGAACTCTAAAGAAATGATTTATGATTATGAGCCTGCCGAATGAAATATTGGTAACGTGAGCAGTATTTTTATCTCACTCATTAGTGGTAGTAATAAACGAAACAGATGATAAGTGAACAAACGACATTGAATTGTTAGTTTTTGTTCGGGAATTCCCGTGAAATCATATTACATATGCAGTGTTACCAGCGGTAGATAACAAAATTGAACATACGAAAAAGGTAAATAATTTATTTGAAATAAATTACTTTATAAAAAAAGTCGCCATCTCAAAAGTCCAAACGTCGCTAGAAGTCGCTAAATAATTATTTCTCGCTAAAACGATTTATTTATCCGCTAAACATTAAAATCCACTAGATCTAGCGACAAAGTCGCTAAAACGGCGACACTGCGAAACGTTTCCAGTATGGAGACACTCCATAGTTTCCAGTATACTGCCCACAGAGTACTTTTTATATAGGGAATAGAGGTCTCTCTCGATGTCTTCAAATAAGAATCGACCATGAAGGTTAGAGAACAGGAGAACGATCACTATAATTTATACGTACTTTATACGTACTAAAGCATAGCCCGTCTGTCTTTGAAAATTCTAGAATTTATAACGGCGCT